AGATATTCCTAAAGACGCCGAAAAATTGCTGACAGTTTATTCGGTGTTTACTCAGCTCAAGGTAATGATGTACTTCATGGCAGCATGAAGTCGTTCGCGATGTCACGCAGTACTAGTAACGCTTTAGAAAAAGGTACGCGATTCCTCTGTGCAGAAATCTAGATAAAGGCTAGCATTTCTTAATTTATTAAGGCTTAAGAATGACTTTGAAGGCAGTAAGTATTGGAATTAAAAGTGTTCGCATATTTTGAGAAATTTTGTAGTTTCTTGCTGTTGCTTTACATACGTATTCACACTGCCTGGGTCTACAAGCGTTCATCTGTTTTTCAGGCCGGCAATTAATTGAAAAGGAGGACCTCTTGCGTTTCAACAATGACTTCTTTCATGCATACCACTTCTCCTGCACTCACTGCAGGTAAGCATCACTAGGCTCCTTCATTAATTCACAAAGAAAATTATTTGAAGGATTGCTCTGACCAATGAAGCGAGACTTTTCGACAAAGAATGGTATTGTCCGCGTTGCTTTGATATGCGATGCGAAACCTGTGCTGGATGTCACAAACCAATTGACAAACAAAATGAGCGTAGCACGCTTGCTTTGGGGAAATCTTTCCATGTAGAGGCAAGTCTCAGTAGAAAGAGTAATCAGTGTTGATTTGAACAATTCTACGAAAGCATTTGTGGCACACAATATGTAGCCGCCCGGCGCGAGTTAACAGAAGGCGAAAGTTTGCTGAGTGATTTGCAATGCTTAATAAGCAAAAGCGAATTTATTCCTAGAAACTTGAAGTCACTATGAATATTCGTAAAAACAAACATCTTTTCTTCTAAGATTGATTTCTTGAGGTCAGCATTTAGCATTTCCGCTGTGCAAAGTGTGACGAGGCATTCATGGGAACGAAACACTATGAACGCAATGGCAAGGCCTACTGCAAAGATGATTTCATGATGGTCCGTGAGCTTTCCTTCATGTACAATTCCCAATTACAATTTGCAGTCTTTTTTTTCAGTTGTGCGGGGAATTCTGTTATCGATGCAACAGTTTCCTTTCTGGAGCTAGTGTTAACGTCTTGGGGAAGAAGTGGTGTATCAATTGTTACAGATGTTTGGCATGTGATCGAGTACTAGAGCATAGGTCTCTTTCAACAAATTTCGGTACTTTCGGTAATTGTAAATCACTAGTTACAGAGAGGAAGTTTTCAACCTTGATATGCGCCCAATGTGCAAAAAATGCTTTCGTAGAAAGGATTTTCGCCACTACCTGAAGGAAGGATCTCATGTTTGAGCTTGCTGAGACGATAGCAGACTTTTTGAAGTTTAAGATCTAAACCAACTCATTTTCGAATATCCCTTGATCTCTATAATAACAAACCTCTTTTTCTGCGATATTCTCTCAAAAATATTTGTTGAGAAAATGTTAATGCTAATCATTGGTGAACATTTTTCTTATGCTACGGTAACATGTTATTTAATCACATCTTATCATCTATAGCTCTGTTTATACAAGTGAAATGAACAGCTGTGATTACATATGATATGTATTATTATGTCAACCATAAAAAGTGGTTTGAGAGTAAAAATTTTTCTACAATGGTTATATCATCAATCTTTATATTGTTCTTTAGACTAGGCATAGCTCGTGATTTCATAACGCGTCCTTAACATGCAAATCAGGTAGGAACTTCTGTTGAGCAACATTTCGTTTCTGTAAAGAATCTGCAAGTATTCGGTGTTCTTCTGTATCTGAAAATATACCAGCAGACATCTCTTTCAACCTGAGCAGACCTTCTACATATGTAAGTTGAGTTTCAATCCGATAACGAACGTCTTCCATGGTTACAGCTGCTTAACGAGTGTTATGGACATTGCTGAGTGTGCGAATGTATTTCATATTATTATGAAAGAGGGTAGAGATTACCAAGCAAAAGCGGACTTTAGGAGACAAACAACTTCAAACAGGAGAATCCGCAAAATTTTGCACTAAAAAAGGGAGTATTCTACTAGTGGATATAGTGGTTATGCTAAACTAAATAACTTCAAGCACTAGTTTTAGTTGACATTTTAAAATATGGCTTTGACAAGGTTGCCTTATGATAGTCAAACATGCGGGAAAAGCACACTATTTTCGCGTATCCACAGTTTAATATCACACAATTTCCTTTGTTAAGCCGCATCTAAAAAGTTCTATAGGGCGCAGGGCTAACCGGTACTGAAGGACCAACGAAATGATCCGTTTGAAAGAAAAAAAGGTTCGCTTCTATGCGGTAGAAATCGCTAAAAGCCTTCAGTTCAATAAATGGCCACAGCTGAGAGAATGTGTTGGGATAGATGTGCGACCTCAACATTTGATCCGCAATGGAATTCAGAATGCAGCTTATCTTCAAGGAATCAGGGTATCTATCCAAAAGAAAGATGGACAAGATTCAGAAACGCTTCCATATGAGACAAACCAAAAAGCACTAAAATTCGTCTGTTCAGTAAATGAGGATCCAAGCATTTGTTTAGGACTGACCGTTCGTTTGCAACAAAATAAATTTAATTTCGATCGCAACTCTAAGTTTGCAAGCCGCAGTATTGCAAAACAAACAATATATCAAACTCTATACTATGGTACTTCGATAGACTCTAGTTTTTCAAGTGAGAGGACCTTTTTTCGGCTAACCGGTACTGAAGGACCAACGAAATGATCCGTTTGAAAGAAGAAAAGCTTCGCTTCTATGCGGTAGAAATCGCTAAAAGCCTTTAGTTCTTTTTTCGGATCGGTTTAGAAGTAATTGTGAGAAAAGAGTTGAATATAGGCGACAATAGTCTAGATTCGTCTTGCTTAAAGAGGCCGTGAAATTATTGCAACACCAATATGAAGAGACTACTGGCACTGGTTCTCTCTTTCTTTTTCATTTTGATGGCCTTCCTTCTCAAGGCGATGCATTCGGAATCATCGGTACAGAGTCCAGGATTGTCAGCTTTGAAGTTCTCTACTGTTACATGAACAGAGGGGAAAAATTGAATCCATTTTGACTATTCATTTATGATCTTTATATGGTTGATGCATAATTATCCGGACTTCTTTTTGCGTGCTTGTATCTTTTTTGTTTTGAAAGCTTT